GGTAACAACAACTGAATTCTAATTAAATATATTTAGACCAAATCTAACCTTTTAAGTGTATTGAAAATTTCTTCGTAAGAAAAAAAATAACACTACATGAAAGATGAAGGGATCTCAGATAGCTTTTTTAATTTTTTCAGAAACAGCTGACCCGTCCAATATCCAAATTCCTGAACCCACTTGCGAGATCAGGGGGATACAGTATGGCAGTCGCACTCAGCTTCACTCAGACCAAACTCAACATGCCTGTAACTAGACAAAGCACTATATCAACCTTCTTTTCACCCAAATCCAGAGGTAAGACATCCCAGAGTTCTTTCATACTGTAACTGTTTCAGTTTACGTGATATTTTAAAATATATATACCTTTAATGTGATGATAAACTGTTAAAGCTAAATAATAATTACCTTTTGTCCTTTTCTGACTGGCATTTGTTTGCCCAGACCCTAACCCAAGTGCGGCTTATTCTGGGTTGTCCAGTTCCATGCACACAGAGGCACACGCCAGGGCCAAACGGAAACATGATGTGACTTTGGAGCCATTTACAGAGTCAACCAGTCAAATATCTGAGGAGCACTGTGATGAAGATTTTGAAAGATTGTCAGCCAAGGACCAAAAAGAACAGTCTTTTCTCCATTTAATATGTGGAACTGAGCCAGAGGAAGAAGAACCGTCTGAAAAAAGGAGACATGTTGTCCATTATACAGAAAATGTGTTAGAGACACAAGAATATTGGAATAAAGAAGCTTCAAATGAATATCCAAATCAGACAATTCCTGAAACTGAGACTTTCTTTCATGAGGAGTCCCCGGAGCACTATGATCTGATGGTCTGGAAGCCCTCTGAAGATGCACATAAGCATTTCCTGAAGTCTCCAGGTCCTAAACACACGGACAAACATGATTTAAGAGATCAGAAGGCCTCAGTTAAGGGGTCTATCTTAACTTCTAGGCCTGCCAATGAAAACCACAAAAGATGGAGTGCTTCTGTGAATACTAATAAAAATCAGGAGCAGTCTTGGCACAAAAATAAGGCATCACCCATGAAACGGATGGGGAAAGAGAATAGCTGGCCTGCATCACCTATTAAAAATGCTCCAACATCGCCTTTTAAACACCATCTCATTTCCAGTCCAGCTAAGTGCAGGTTAAAGGAGAAATACACTTTTCCCCCCAAAAAATCAGGTAAGGAACTTGTAAACACAGAGACGGTTGGAGAAACTTTTGCTACGCTGTTTACTCAGGACTCAGAGGGCTTCTGTGTGATTGCTCATCGTGACCAGCACTTAAGGAGCCCACTAAGAGACCAGAGCAATTTATCTGTGGGCAAAGATTACGGGAATAGTCCATCTGCCACTTCTTTAGGAAAAGAGGAGGAGGAATCAGATCTAGAGCCAGAGATGCTTTTCACCCAAGACTCTGAGGGAAACATGGTCATCAAGCATTAGCCAGAAACCGATGCGAAATACCACAAGAACGCAGAATTTTAAGTGTTTTTTTTAATTGATTTTCTTTCTTAAAATTTTGAAGCGCTTGATTTTGTTAAAGTTGTAATTAAAATATTTGAAAATTTAAATGAACATTCAATTCAAAAATAAACATTTGTACAAGTACAAATAAACCCCAAAAATGATTTGTTGTGTAATATTTGATAAAGATTCACTGCTTGCCAGCAGATGGCACCATGAAGCTTTTACTGTCAATGTTTGGTGTATTCCTTAAGCTGTGCTTGTAGAATCTGTATATTTTAAAGTAGGACATGACGTGTCACATTAAACAAGTTGAGTACATTTGAGTTTAAAAGCTCTATCATTTGAAATTAATTTACGTTTTGTATTGCTTTAAATTACCATCATGGAGCAAGGTGAATACTTCACATTCTGTTCTCATTTGCCAAGTTGATGATCCACCATTGCTGCTCTGTTTAAATTTGCTGTCAGGGACAGTTTCATTAAAGAGCCATGTGCTGACAAATTCACTCATTTTTCATGCATTTATAATAAATGCCATGGACTCCCAAATGTAATGATCTCCTTAAGGGACCCCTTCCTAAAATATAAAGGCAGTTTCATGTATAAAAACCCATTTATACTGTGTGAGAAAAATATTAAATAACGACAAAATTAAATAACCATTTTTAAAGAGAATTAAATCTTTTATATTATCCTTGTACAAAGCAAAGTTTAACATTTATAATACATTTTGTAAAAAAAATATTTTTTGTTCTTTTTGAAAACCCTTGCTCTAGAACAACTGAACCTTATAAAGCTTAAATCAGAAGATGGTAAAAATGCCAATACAATACAAATAACAGTGTAGTGAGTTCACAATGACTTTATTTGATTAAATTGATCTGGTAACATGGAAATACTTTGGTAAAGTACAATTTAAGGCATGTGATTTAATACATTGTACATGTTCTACTGTGTTTAAGCATCATGCTTAAGTGAGCATTACATTGTTAGTTAAATGTAGACTGTTTACTGACCAAGCAAATGTAACACAATTCCCTTTTATGGACTGAAGAATGCTACATATTAACACATGTTGGCATACACTCAAAATGAGCTGAAGTGTTCAAGACCTTCCTGTTGAAGAAACATTTAAAGCATTGAAATTTACAAGCAGATGTAAAGGTGTGAGTGCAAAGTGAGAACATCTAGGAAACAATTTTGGACATGAAGTTGGATATTTATTAGCTGTATTTACTTAATGTTATAACACAGCACATGTCATTACTACCCTGATGGTGTTGAATTACGTGGTGGCCGTCAATGCAAAGTTTCAGAAATGAGCAGTCTTGAGATTATAAATGAAATATAAAGCAATATTTAAACTATATTAAAATAATATAAAATCTTATCAAACATACCCCCAAAGGCACTCAGTTCAGTTGCAGAACAAAGACCAGTTGTCACACTCCTAGAATAAAAAGTGGGTTGATTGTAAAATGTCCATTGATTTTTCTCCTCTGCTCATGATTGCATATATTCTGCGTCCAAAGCCTGAAGATACAAGTTAAATAAACATAATAAACATGTTTTTTTGCAGAAGAAAATATTATGATCTGAAAGTAAATCTGTAGTAAATTACTGCACAACAGAACCAACATGTATTTAACATGAGAATTTATAACATCAACACAAAGTACTTTATAATGTCAAAAAAGACAAAAACAAACAAAATCCATACTTTAATAAATGAATGATTTTTTAAAATAAAATATATATTGTCATAGGAATAAGTAAACATTTGATTGCTTACTGATTCATTATTTTAACTTAAGTATAAGTACTTTGAGTTGCTGCCTAAAAAAATTCCCATATTCACACATAATGGTGCCATCATCTGTAATTACTTTTAATGTATAATAATTAATATATGTATATTATGTTTTTTTATTGCCGCTTAGTTAAGGAGAAACATCTCCATTTGTTGAAATGTTTCATAATTGGTTTGTGGAAAATGGAACTTTTTGTCCATATTTTGCATTTTCTGAGCCTAAATCTACATCTCACAACCACAATGTATGAATTCTTCCGTCTCCACTTGTTAGTGATACAGTGAAAGTGCATGAAGAATTCTGGGTAGGAGGAAAGCGATGACGAGCTGGAAAAGGAATCAACCAGCAATCTTTGTGGGCTCTGTCACCAGGCTGGAGCCGTCCCAAACCGTTGTAAACTGCTCTGGGATTGGAAACTCCCTCTGTTGAATACACAAGAAGATATTAGTCAAATAATGTATAAACAATGCTTCAACCTTTAAGGCTCATATTTGAATGTAAAGCAGGTCAAATCTCTGGAATAGAACATTGTTATTTTGGTACATGACATAATGTATCAAGAAAGTTATTTGTTAAAATGAAAGGTTATGCTAGCTCTATTTGTAGATATTTCCAGTGTAAATAAACTTACATAATCATCTTCTCCCTCAGGAACGAGGACGTTCATCTCAGAGCTCTTGGCACTGACAATCTCACAGTCAAGTGAATCCTTGCTCAAGTAGACATGGCACCCCTCAGTCTTGTTAATGGAAATAGTAGGAACTTTTCCCATTACCTGAAAGGCCAAAAACAAGTTTTGTGTTGTTCACAGGCAACAAAATACATAAGGGTGAAAAAACAGAGCTGCTCAGTCTGTAGTCCAAAAACTACAATTAGCTTGAAATAATTAGTATTTTTGAGCCACGAGTTCCTACTTGGTGAAAACAAGCTCTAAAAGTCTCTTGTGCTCAACAAGGCTGCATTTATTTGATAAGGTAAATAGTAAATATTGAAAAAAAGTAATATTGTGAAATATTACTACAATTTAAAACAACTGTTTTCTATTTTAATATATTTTAAAATGTAATTTATTTCTGTGATGGCAAAGCTGGATTTTCAGCAGCTATTACTCCAGTCTGCAGTGTCACATGATCCTCAGAAATCCTTCAGCATTTATTTGAAAATTTTTGTAAAAAATGTTTTACTGTCAATGTTGATCAATTTAATGCCTCCTTCTTAAAAAAAAAAACAATATTATATGTGGTTGATGAATTGGGCAATATTATGTAGTAATTTATTAGTAATGTTTGCTATAAAAGCATGTAGCAGCTACAAACATGTGTAATTTATGTCCGTTAACATCTCTTCAGTATCAACAGATGCATACCACAATGTTATTTAACATTGGTAGTTGTGTTGATTACGATATTCGTTATTGATTCTGGCAGTTATGACCATAATTCATGCACATACATTATGCTAATCACTCACAGATCAAAACACTTCAGACAACAACTTGTTATGCACAAACATTTACATCTAACCTGAAGCTGAATGTCTCTGGAGTTGATGATCTCAACGATGCCCACCACACTGTCAAACACGAGTCCGAGCTTCTTACAGTTATCTGTGAGGAGAGAGACAGACATTAGCCAGGCGTGGTGCATGGTGCTGCGATAGAGGAGGAGATAACGTTACTGAATAAGAGCAGCTTGTGTGACAGCTGGTTATGAGGAGCTCCTCTTACCCACTATGATGGAGTTGACTTTGCCTTTGATCTGGAGTGTGGAGTTGCTACAGCTAAAGACATAAACCACCTGTCTGAGCTCGGTCTCCTCTATCACCAGGTCATGAGACTTCTCCTGGTGCTCCTACAGGACAAATACATACAATAGATCCACTAAACACATGCTGGAGGCACGGTAAATCAATAAGAGTCTCACTACAAGTGCAGGGTAGCTTAGTTTACAAGTGTGTGAGTGTTCTCATTTTAAGACATCTCTACATTCATCCAACCCACTTTTTGGGAGATGATTATTTTTTTGGTGATCCCTGTCTTAATGAATCTCTTCCACTTTCAAATTAATCCTATGCAACTGAGAATGATTATTTTATATAAAACATTTAGGCTCTGATGGTATAATATTAATAAAAAATGATATAATAAAAATAACAATAACAACAAAAATAACAACAACTATAATAATAATAATAACCACTATGCAAAGTGTAATTATTAGTAGTAGTAATATTTATTATATATATATATATATATATAATATATTATTCATAATATAATATAATAACGACCACTATGCTAACTATGCTAAATAATATAATAAAATAATTAGATTAATGAATCTCTTCCATTTTTAAATAATTTCTATGCCACTGAGAATGATTATTTATATATAATTTTTAGGCTCCAATAAATATATTTCTATTCAGAAAATTGTATAATAATAATAATAATAATAATATCACAATGCTATTGAAGAAGAAGAAGAAGACGAAGAAGAAGAAGAAGAAGAAGAAGACGAAGAAGAAGACGAAGAAGACGAAGAAGAAGACGAAGAAGAAGAAGACATTTATATATACCGTACATTAGCAGAACGACACAGTTGACCAATGTGAATCTAGTATTGCTTGGAGCTGTGCAATAAGAATAATGTAATATTTTTCCATCGCATCAGATCTTATTATATATAAATCATCTCTTTTGTGTTTAACACAACTTTTTTTGCTTCCTTTTAATAAAAATAATTTAATTCACTAGTTGTAGTGCTTAATGTGCTATATACTGCCTTCAATGCTTTAGAAATAGCATGTAGTAAATCAATAAAAACTCTAGTATGATACAGTATTAACAGTAGTATTCTACATTATTGTCACACAGCCTCAACATATTGCATGTTTAATTTAGTGAGCAGCATTTAGTCTTGAAAAGAAAAAATGCAAACCAACAATTTTTAAGTTATTTTACAAATGAACTGAAAAAAATAATTAATTAATTTGCATTTTTATTTCCAAGATGATGATAATGACATTGACGTAAAAATATCAAGTTCATTGCATTGTGGGATACATTTGTCTTTTCTTTTATTTAATTTTGCCAAATGTAGCAAAACGATTACAAGTAGTATGATTTAACGCTGGACACATTCAGACACATGCCAGTTGATGTCGTGTGGGAACCTACCACTCTCCACTTCTTTCCTTCCAGCTCCAGCACGGGGGAATGTTTTTTGGCAGGTGCACACGCAGACGTGCTGGGGTTCTGACTTTTGGCTGGAGATCCCTGGTGTGTCCTCCCTCCCTGAGAGCGCAAGTTGGGGTTCTTATGGGTCTTCTGCTCTTCAGACACATGCTTCAAACCTGGAGGCAGAGCACATCACCTGATGTCAGTTTTGAAGGCAGTATAGTATTTTATTGCGTGACGGTGTTCTCCTGCCCACCTTTAGTGATGACCTCTCCCTGGTTGAGCTGTGCAAACAGAGCTGAGTGCTGGGCTGCTGTGTCGTCGGGTTTGGGGCTGTCATCCATGAACATCGGAGGAGGACCTGGTGGTGGAGGAGGAGGAGGAGGAGGGCAAGGACCATCAGGAGGAGCACTGAACAGTGAGGGAGGGGCTACAGGACTCTGTGGAGAACATCAGAGTTAGTCCCTGAGAAGTTGCAAACTGATATGCTCATTCCAGAATGGGAAAAACATCAAAAACAAAACTAAAACAGTATAGCTGTGAATCCACAGCCTCAAATAACACCTTTATAAAATGGTTAAAAACATTGTAACCGTGATGTTGATGAATTCACTGCAATGGTCATCTATCCAGTGGGGGGCGTAAGAGGCAATGGATTGGGTCTGTAGTGTTGCTGTTAACACTGTTAACAGTTCAAAAACCAAGGTGACCTCCATAAAAAAAAATTCAGGTATATTTATATTTCATATTTATAATGTATACAATTTATTAAAAGAAATGTTTGTAGAGCATCCCTTGGAAAAGGATTCTGAATTTTTTTTAAGCTTTAAAGAGTTTAAATGGCAAAAATCATTGATTTTTAATACAGTAATATGGCCACACATTAAATCAATATTTCTCATGATATTAAAGACTAATATATATACACACACACACACACACACACACACACACACATATACATACACATATATACATATATATATATTATGATTATTACAATTATAAGAAAAATGGAAAACTGAGAAATGAGTAGGTATGTTCAAACCTTTACCCACACAAATTATACATTTATAACACTATAATATAAAATAATAATAATATAAATCAAAATAAGCAGTGAAAGGTTCATTAGTTAACTACATTAGTTAAGATAAACTAAGAATGACCAATACTTCTACAGCATTTATTAATCTAGTTAATGTTGATTTCAGCATTTACTAATCCATTATTAAAATCACAAGTTGTGTTTGTTAACATTAGTTAATACACTGTGAACTAACATGAACAAACAATGAACGACTGTATTTTTATTAACTAACATTAACAAAGTAACTAACATTAACAAATAACATTAACATGAACAAATAAAAAGTGTAATAAATGTAATGCTCATTGTTTGTTCATGTTAGTTAATATATTAACTAATGTTAACAAACAACACTTTATTGTAAAGAACTACCAAATGTCTCTTTAGGAAAGTATATTGCTATATGGTTAATGCAATAATCGTTTGAAAGCAGTTCATATCAGTCCATGTGTTTCTGGCACAACTGGGATGATCTTATTTATCAACATTTAAAGTAAAAGAACAGATCCGTGTGGCACAGTTGGCTATTGTGTGACCCTGACGGCACACTTACGCCTGTTTTATATTGTCAGCACAGCTGCCACTGACAGTTGCACACGGTTCCCACTTCAACACTTAAACTGGCTTAAACAACTGTTGCACACTCATCTTTTCCTGTCTTGTACAAACACACACACTTCTAATCCCAATACTTGTGCTGATGTTCAGCATAGGTTACACAGTTGGGCAACCCAACCTCTGACCCTAAAGGTCATTTCCTCGTGAAGAGGTGAAAAAGCAAAAGCTGTTAGAGGAAGTGGAGAAGCACGGCAGAAAAATACATAGTGATGCTGGAGTTCGATTGTGTCTGATGTGTGAGGATACACAGAAGTAAATGAATTCAAAGGAGAGGAATACATGAGAAGCGAGTTTGAATTACGAGGAGTGTGTGTGAGAGCAGGTGTGTAAGCCAGAGACACACTAGGCTTTTGTTGGGGGCATTTCTATGGTAAACCCTCCATGCAAAAAGACCCAGATGACCACCTGTCCACACCATACAGTCCTCCACATACACTCAGAGTCCTCACGGCAGGAGGGACAGCTGACACACAGTCACTGAGAGCTCTCAGGTTTCTGTTTGACACACACACTATTTCACCCCGTGACAGACAAGATTTAACATCTCCAAAAGTCCCAGAACTGCTTAAAGGGATAACTGTGTATTCTTTCAAAGTCATAAAAGTAGTATGAAGCCGTTTTATGAAAGTAAAAAAAAAAAACGTTCTAATCTCTTTGTAACCTGACACATTGCTGCATATTATCAGTCAAGTTAAAGCCAGTAAAATAAAAAATTACTTTCCTTTACATACACTACCATTCAAAAGGGGATCGGTTCGATTTTTTTTTTTTATGTTTCCGAAAGAAGTCTCTTTTGCTCAACAAGGCTGCATATATTTGATCACAAATACAGTAGAAACAGTAATATTGTGAAATATGATTATGTTAAAATAACTGTTTTCTGCATCCTAGCTGAACAAAAGTCTTAATTTCTTTCCAATCTTTTGAACAATAGTGTAAATAGATTCAATTCATAGATTAAACTCAAAATAATTGTTTTTAATTTAGGCATCACAACATTATAATGTACAATATTTGCTAAAGATTACATTTAACAGTGTTATTAAATTATGAGTGTTTTTAAAGATTAACTTTAATCTGCATTCAACCAGCCTCTGTATGACTAAAAATGGAAAATATGCTTTTCTGTATTGCAGTTTCAGTTTTTCCTAATTTGAAACGGAAACATGATATCTAGCATTGCAAATATTTACATCTTTGAAAATGACAGATTTCCAAATTACTGTAGAGTTTTTATTACCAACATCAGCTGTTCTAATTGTACAATCTGAATATTCAAGAATATTCATATCATACTTCCTGAATACAAAACAGTTGAGGTGAGCCTTAAGTCATTTTCCAATTGAAAGTCTCACTTACAGTCTTGTTCCAGATGAGTCCAGTGGTGTGGTGCTCTTTTATGTAGGTCTGAAGTTCAGTCCAGATGTTCAGATAGGAACGAACCCACTCAACATGACAGGGGTCACTGGGGTCAACAGAGACACAAAAAAAAAGTTCACTGGCATTGTTTAAGTGAACAAATAAATCATATTTTCCTAAATGTACATGTACAACATTACTGTGAGGGAAATTTACTATGTGTGTAGGTACATTAACAAAAAGTACCAAACTGGTATTAAAGTACAGTAATATCATGGTATTACTTGAAGATCCTTGAAGTAGCAGATAAATACCATTATACATGACTATGATAATCATTATCACAATACCATGTAAGGGACATTTCACATTAACATAAACTGATCTGATATGAACTAAAAAAAAACTAAAGCACTAACGTGTCTTTGTAATCTTTCAGGACTCTGTTTGTGTAGAATATTGCAGCATCATTCATCTCCTTCACATACGGCCCTGGTTTCTGACACTGTGACAGAGCAAGACAACAAAGGGTCAAAAGATGGTCAAAGAAGCTTATGTACTCATAAAAATAAATAATAAGCATGGAAAAAAAGGATCAATTTCAAGGAAAGCACTAAAACTGAGGCCTTGAACCTTCGTTGTAAACATCAGCGGTAGTTTAAAGCAGAAAATGATAGAGTCCAGATCTGTCTTAGTCCAAATTCACATTGCAGTGATTAGATACAGCCATCCACAGCATGAAGACATCAGAAGAGTTTACATAATAGAAAATAAATACAAAATTCAAATATCAGTTTGGTGGTCCTCTCACCGATGACGCAGATGGTTTGTGTGAGGTCGTCCGGTTGTCACAACCAAAGAAAATATGCCTAATGGATGGATGTGATGTTGTTTGAAGTTTATTTGGTGGGCTTTCATCACTAGCATCAAGCCATGACTGTTTCTGAATGTGCAGTCTTAACAGTAAGCGACTTAAATGCATAAGATGCATGAGCCAAACCAGGTATTTGTATAAAGGAAGTTGGTGACTAGACTGCACCACAGTGTGAGACAGAGAGAAGTGCTCACCACAGCCACCCAACCCAGAGCGGGGATGCTCTCGCTCACGGCAGACAGGTGGTTGAACAGGCTGCTGCCGCGGTTCTTCTCCCGGAAATTCTGGACCTCCTGGATCTGGTCGGAGAGGGGTCTGAGGAGGTCAGCCATCTCTGTCTGATTGGGAATAAAAGCAGGAAAGCCATCAATCAAAAGTTAAGATTAATTTGTGGAACATCAAACAGTCTGAGTTGTGCATAAATGCAATGTATGCAATTGTGCATGTGCAATGATGGCAGTATCAATAAGAGCTAACAATTCAGGTGTAGAAAGACCAATTATTTTTGAGGAGGTATTAGTGATTCTAAAAAGCTTATTTCTGTTGGTGCAAGAGAGCATGGTGAAATATAGCAAGTAACACAGTACAGAATAATGGATTCATTGATACTGCGATACAGAAGGAGCAATTGATTTGGTTTCACTGAAAAGAACCTAAGTTTACGTATGACCAGAAGTCTTTGTTGGCAGCGTCTATGAATGTCTGTGACATGATGGTCAAAACTTAGTTTATTGTCTAAGATAATGCCCAGGTACCTGAAGTTGTCAACAATGTCCATTGGCTGGCCATTGATGGATATAGGACAGTAAGGAATAGAGAATTTGTGTCGTGGGTCTAAAATTTGTATGAGCAATACTAATAGTGATAATTGTCTTGCAGGCTCTAATAAACCACTTAAATACAGTATTTTGCCATTTTAGTAATTTCATTTGAAACAAAGTCAACAGTGAGAAAACTTCCATTCATAAAGTATCCATCCCTTAATTTTATAATTCAATCAAATTAGTCTAATAATTCAATTAACTCTGAGCCCAGCTTTTATAATATATTTCAAAGATGAACAAAAGGAGATTTTGTGCTATATACCACTGTAGAGTTTCAACCTCTTCTATTAAAGACCCTGAAAGGATGTCTGCATAGATTTCCTTCTTGTTTTGATGTATTTCCTATTGAAAGTTGGGCAGCACGCACACGCACACACACACGTGTGTGTATAAACTAAAACAAATTAAAAATTACAAGTAGATAGATATGCTAGCTAGCTAGATAGATAGCTAGATAGATAGATAGACTAAAAACTAAGACAAATTAAATAAAAATACTAAAATATCACTGCACATATAGAAGAGTTGTATGTGGAATAACATGCTAGCATTTCTATCATGACATTGCCGAAATAGTAAAAGTAGCACACTAGCATGCTAGTCAGCTGCATGTGGTATTGGAATAGGAACATTTTTCATTCTAGAGCATCTGATTTTAAAATCTGTATAGACCAACCTGAATCATCAAAATTTACAGAATTTACAGAATTCACATTAGCAACATTTTGGCAAAATTTCATAGGCACTATTGTCTTTCGGCAATAGTGTAGCAATGCAACACTGTATAATGTCCTCTAGTCTAAAGGGAAAGAAGTGACAAATCAAACACCTTTCTGATGATCGTTTGCTGCATGGCCAACTCAAAACCACTGCAAAATCTGTGTAGGCAAAGCTTTCAGCCTTACGTGAAATTCTCAATCGTGTAGTTTCCTATTGAAATGACTAGATTACGCCCACAAAAATGTGCTTAACGAGGGTAAATGTGACCGTACCTAAAGACTGTGTACATCTATTAGCATACAGAGTATCTTAAAATTAAACAAACAGAGAAACAGCCACTCCACATTAACTCCAATTTTGATTTAATTGGGCCTTTTCTGCAAGCACAGAGAAAAACACAGAGCCTGAGGCACCCAAGCGGACTTTTATTAGTGGGATTATTTTTTCCAATGAAACGTCCAGCGAGCTTCACCTCCCTCCCACTCAGCATTCCAGCCCGTGATGGGGAGATCCCCCTCGCCTTGTAAGGCCCTGTCCTGTACTGATGTTTACAGTTTACCTCTGCACAAGGGGGAGAGGGAACACACTGTTTCCTTTGTTAAATGAACGTTTTTATATTTATGCTTGTGTTCAAGCAGTTGCCATGTCCACCATTTCAGTCCATTTCACAAGAACTCGGTGCGAGAATGAGGACAACTGACTTCTCTGGACTAAAAATACCGTTTCTTGTTTTCAGTTAGACTCATCAGCTCAGGCTAAACTTGTGTTCATGTGCAAATCACAAGAAATCACAGTTGACCTGACTTCAACCTCATCAAATGAGTGAGAGATAAACAAACAAGACAGACAATGTGTATTTAGACAGTATATGTTGGCACACTGTGTATTTATTCATCTATATTTACACGTTTTGTGGCTGAATGTGACTCATCATTGGTTTTTGGTGTCAACAAGGTTGAAGTGTCGAGGGTTGTTGTGGCTTGAGTTTGTGTATGTGTGAGTGTGGCACAAAGCGATAAAGACCGAAGGGGAGTGAAAGAGAGAGAGCAAAACCGTATTTACATAAATTCCTCCCATAACAACATGCACATGATTTTCATTTCTGTGAACAAAGGCGCCTCTTTCATCCATACTCGGACATTACAGCCCTTGTTAAGGCGCTGTCCGAAGTGCAAGTACCTTTCCAGCATCATTCTGAACTTCCCTTCCCATCATGCTTAGCCACGGAGAAGAACAGAAATAGCCTGCCTATCTCTGAGCTATGAATGGAGCCAGAGCTAAGAGCTTTCTCAACCGATTATGAATTGCACGGCAAGAAAGCACTGCTTCACATTGAAATACACTATGTGTGTGTGTGTGTGTATATACAGTCGTGGCCAAAGTTTCGGCAGTGACAAAAATGTTGTGTTTTACAACGTTTGCTGCTTAAGCTGTTGTGGTGTTCATTCACATTGTTTCTAGATTATGTAGAGTGATCAGATGCATTTTAAATAATTGTTAAAAGCTTCACTGACCAAAAAATGAACTTTTCACAAAAAAACAAATTTCACTGTTTTTTGATCCTGACACAAAATGACCAGCTAACATTAATTGACTAATCATATCAGCAGCACATGTGAAAGTGTGAATGA